GAGGGGGCCCAACCCCACCCCCGGCACCCCAGACGAGGCAGTACCCAAGCACGATGTGAACCCTCTGTGTACAAAGGTTTTCTTTCACCCCATAGAGGTTGTCTTTACCCACTTTGTACCCTGGGTTTGATCCTGGCTGTGTGATCTTGGGCAAGTAGCTTAACCTCTCTGTGCCTCAGTATTTTTACCATTGAAAATGGGGGAAAATTCTTCATGGACTGGATGGAAGGATTAAGTGAGTTAGTACCTAGCTAGGAGATCCACAGAGTTCAGGGCTCAGGGCTGTGACGCAGCAGGAAAGGACTCCCAGGGGGCCCAGTGTACAGGGCCCTCCTCATGAGGAGAAACCAGCACTTGTGGGCCCTGGGTTTTTGACTTTGGGGTGCTAGCATCCCCGGGAAGGGAGGGCAGTGCAGAAACTTAGCCTGGAGTCTCTGGACAGGCTTAGGGCACTGTGCAGAGCCCCAGAACCCTAGAGGAAATGTCTGGCCACTTTGGGGGAAGGGAATGGCCCCATCCTACCTGGCTCCAGGCTGAGACCCTGGAATCACAAGTCCAATGTGGTGGGGGATGCAGCCAGCTGGCGGCCAGTTAGTCCATGGCCAGCAGATGGCGCTCGGCCCAAAGCTGTGAAAGGCTGAGCGCCCAATTCTCCACTGCAGGTTCCAAGGCCAGCTGGGACCTGGGACCTGGCCTGGGGCTCCTCTCCTCCCAGGTGCTCTCTTGCCACAGAGACCAGCCAGAAGGTGGTGCTGGGTGGGGAGCAGCTCCTACTCAAGGGTCTTCCAGGGTCCCAACTACGGCTGAGGTCCGTTGGTGTTCTGGGTGTGCCCAGCTGGAGCCAGGCCTGTACATCTCAGCCCCTGAGAGGCTCGAGATCACAAAAGAGCTTCAGAAAATAGCCCTGCCCGGCCCCCACTTCCAGAGACTGTCGTCCCTTGGTCTGGGGTAGTGCCGGGAATCAGCATTTGTTAGATGCCCCAGGGGCTGAGAATCACTGCAAGGTCCCCTTTAATCCTCCTGAGGAACTCAGTGGGGAAGGTGCTGTCCTTACGTCTGCCCATCTCACAGAGGGGGAAACTGAGGCTCAGAGGTGATGGTACCTACCTGAGGCTACACTCAGGTCCACCTAGGGCTGCAACGCCAAACCCCGCTCATTCTTTTATCTCCATGATGTCAATAACATCACCGGGGCAGGCTTCCCGGCCTCAGCACTGCTAACCCTGGGGGCGTGATGAACTTTGCTGTGGGGGCTTCCCTGCTCAGCTGAATACAGCCCCGGCCCCACCTCACAGTGATGCCCAAGCCCTAATCCCCAGAAGCTGGGACTGTGTTACCCTATATAGTGAAATGGGCTTTGCAGATGTGAGTAAGGGTCTTGAGATGGGAGGTTATCCTGGGTTGGCTGGGTAGGCTGAAAGTAATCACAAGGGTTTTTAGAAGAGAGAGGAAAAAGGAAAGAGGAAAGAGGAAGATGGAGAGAGACTGGAAGATGTGATGCTTGTGATGCTGTTCAGGATAAAGGAAGGGGCCACGAGCCGGGAAAGCAGGCACCTCTGGAAGCTGGAAAAGACAAGCGAGTTTCACTGAAGCTCCGGAGGAAACAACTCTGCCCACACCTTGATTTTAGCACCGTGAGGCCATGTGGGACTTCCAGCCGCCCCAACTGTAAGATGATAAATTTGTGATTTTTAAACTTATCTGTGGCAATTTATTACAGCGGCAACAGGAAACTGCTCCCCTCTGCCCTGTGACAACCAAAAGTCTCCAGACTTGCCACATGTCCCTGCGATGGGAGGATGTGGGTAAAATGGGTCCCCGTGGAAACCACTGAACTATTTACTCTTTACTAAGTTTTCCCCATGTGTGTCCCGGCCAACTGGGGCCCCTGAACTATAACATCTAACCTTCTTGTAAACCTGAGCTGTGTGCACTGCAGGCCCATTCTGCAGATCAGAAGGCTGAGGCTCAGAGCTGTTAAGTGGGCGGCTAGGGATGGGGTCACACAGATAGGCCGGCAGAACCAGGATTCCTCTCCAGAATCACACGGCCTCTGACCCGGACTCTGCATCCCCGCACCTTCATGCCTCCCACCAGCGGGCGGAGCTGAGTCTTCCGCCCCAAGGAGAGGCCAGGCCTTTCAGAGTCTCTGCAGCCCGGGGGAGGGGCCGCCCAGCCCCCACTCACCATCTGACACCCCTGCCCCCTTGGGCTATGGCCTTTTGCCAGCTGGGCTGCTTCTCCAGCAGCTGATGATGGCAAAGGCCATAGGGTCCCCAGTAGGGGGTAGGAAGGGAACGAGCAAGAGAGTCACAAAAAGTGGGGCCAGGCAGTGAGAGCTGGGCTGGTGGTTGTTGTCTTCCATGTGGAAGAACACTGGCTTAGGAACCCAGCAGACTGTGTTCAATCTTGTCTCTGTCCCTTGGGCAGTTGTTTAACCTTCCTGAGACTCAGTTTACCTCTCTGGGCAGTGGGCTCCCTGAGGATCGCCCAGGGCTGTATCTCCAGCTTTTCCCCACCGCCGAGAAATGTTATCTGACAGAGTCTCTTGCAGGAGGAGTGTTTTCACTGAATACAAAATGCTGGTCCTGCCTGTCCCTCTTCTCATCGGATGCATTGGTGGCATTCTGGTCTCATTCACCAGAGCGAGGAGCATGGAAGATGGGAGTGTGCCTCTGGGTGATGGGTTTATGATTGGGGCTAGAAAAATCTGATTCAGTATCTAGAAGGCTCAATCCCAGGCACTACCAGTTTGGGCAAGTCATTTGTCCTCCCTTGGCCCTAATTTCCTTTTCTGCTTGAGAGGAGGATCAAAGGATGCTTAGAAAGTGCCAGGTGCTCAGTGGGTCTTCACGGGTCTAGGCTCCTCCAGCTGCACGGATGTACCCGGACTGACTACAGCTGATGTCTCTCATTCCCATGGCCAACTGGAGAGGGTGAATCCTCGGGTGGTTTAGAAGCTACTTTTGTCTCCTGTGGGAATGTGAGGTCTGGAACCACAGCAGCCACTTTGTCACCACCAGGGCAGAACTCCTTGTGGCTGGAGAGTCTCGATGTGGAGTCTGAGAAAGCTGAGTCTGTGGGAAGCCAGACTGAGAGATGGAGGGACAACAGGTCCTCGGCCACAGTGAGCTGCTGGATAAGGGCTTACCTGAAGTCTGTTTACAAGAGGCAGTATTAATTAATTAAACTGCTTTTTTAAAATTCAAAAGTTTCAGTAGATCTTCAATCTGTCTATCTACAGTTCTTTAGAAATGCATAAATATATTTCAAAAAATCTTCTCAGTTTTATTTTTCCCATAGAAATTGCATTCCCGCCTTCACCCAGCCACCCATAACAAAGCTTTACCTGCTGTCTGGGAAATTTTTTCTCAACATTTTCTCCCAATTCTTCTATTGCTTTTTTAAAAAGTAACAATCAGCTTTCATACATAAAATGTCGAGGAGCATGTCCTTGTTCTCCTAGACGTCCTTTATTTGAGCAAAGCATTCTTGTTTTCCAGTTGTGATTTCCTCTCTTCCCTTGGAGGGCGTTACTGATGGAGCCTCGAAGTTTTCTTCTGTTCCGTACATTTTCTCTAGTTCCTCGTAATTCCCATTTTATGTTTGAGAGCTATTCGTCTGGCCATCATATTGGAAGCTTTTCTCAAATGTCTTGTGAAAATAACTTTTTAAATGAAAAAGCAAATAGATTCCCTTTTCTAGGTTTCTGTCACTTGCAACCCAAATGCTCCTGACTTACTCCCTAGACTCTTTCCCTTCTTCTAATCTCAGCGTCTGCTGAAGCCCCACAGGCGAGGCGTCCTGTCTGGGGTCACCCTGAGAGGAGTAAAGGGGCTGGGATGAGAAAATAGAATTGCATCTGTGAGCAGGGCACAGTGGTTTTGGAAAATCGCTTCCAACTCAAGAGACGAAGTCCCCCTGCCCCTCTGCTATCCCCACGCCATCCAGTTCCAGGGGCTGCAAGTTCTCTGCACACGCATCACCACAGAAGGGGCTGCAGTGGTGGGTGAGCTGGTGAGGGCTAAGGGCTGGGGCATGGACGGACTTAATCATTCTCTGCTTTGAATGGAAGCTAGTTAATTTCCTTCCTGAAGAGATCAGCTTTGACCTTCACCTCCAGCCCCCGTTCACTGCTGGCAATGCTTTGTCAGCGTGCTTATGACAAATTAATTATATGGAGAGGGGAAATCCTGCAGGAAAAATGACTGTTCTGGCTTGGGCTGAAGGTGAGAGCTGAGGCTGGATTCTGAGATGCATTTTGATCGCCCGCTGATACGGGCCTGGTTAACCACAGACCTTGGGCAAAGTTGGAGGCAGGCGGTTAGCTTGCAGCTCACCCCAGAGAGAAGACCATGCCAGCAGCGATGAGTCAAACCCGATTTCCAGCCCCTTCCACCTGCTGGCCTGTTTGCAAACCGGATATCCCATGCCGGGCTGATTCGGGGGCCTCAGGGCACTGTGGTGCTGAGATAACTTTGCCCCCTGTAGGTCGGGCAATTCCAGCCCAAGGAACAAAACCTTCCCTTCCCTGTAATGAATCCAGCTTCCTTGTTGCGCGGACCTGCCCCCTTCTCCCTGGAATATTTGTGCAGGCGGAGCCGGGCTTGTCCAGAGCTCAGCGTCAAGTCCATACTCCTCTCCAGCCAAATTCCCTCTTCTGTTTTCTTCGCGTGGCGAGGACAACACCCAACTGCTGCGCTGCTCTGAAGAAGTCATCTAGTTCTGACCATCATGCCTTCGCCCAGCCGTGCGCCTGCCTAGGACACCATTCCCATCCCGCCCTCCCCCCGCCCCCTGCCAGCTGCTGAGAAGGAGCTCTAAGGCTCTCCCCCACCCCGGGAAGCCTCCTGGCCCTCCAGGTGGCGTCTGGGCCCCTGTCCCGCACTCCCCTGAGTCCCTGAGATCACCGCGGCTCAGGACTCCCCGCCGGTGTCCCGGGCCCGGCGCTCCCGCTGACTGAACCGCTCGCTGAGGGCAGGGCTTGCCTTCCTCTTGACGTAGCCTGAGGGCAGGGTCCTTCAGAAGAGGTCGGCAGAGGGGCCTGTCCAGCACACATTGAGGGCTCCAGAATGAAAGTCAGGGCCTCTGTGCCTAGTGAGCTCACTGCCAGATCCTGGGGGAGACGAAGCCGACTTCTGAGGTTCTTGCCTGCCTCGAGGCAGCCCTTTTCTGGTAACTTTAGAGAATGGCCATCCTTCCCCCTGAAGCCATGTGACTGGTCGTGACTGACCTTCCTCCTGATTCCAGGGATAGATCATGTGGCACCCGTTGGCCATTCACAGCATTCTGTCGCTCTGACCAATGATCATTTGAGGGACGGGCACATGACCAAAGCCATCCAACATGACTTGCGCGATTAGGAAGAGGTGCTCTCCTTCCTCTGTGCAGCTACACTGGTGGCATGGGAGCCCGGAGACTCTGAGCCATCTTTGCCAATACAAAGGAAAGCAGAGAGATGGAGAGAGGAGGCTAAGTCCTAAGACGTTGTCTGAGATCCTGGATCCAGGCATTCCCGAAGCATGATTTATGCTTGGAGTTGTCTACACCAGAAGAGCCAATACACTCCTTGTTGTGCTAATCAGTTCCCAGCTTTCTGTCATCTACAACCAAATGACTCACCTAATGGACAAGTGCAGCAATAAATCCTGCTTCAGGAATGACTGGATCCAGGAGCTCAAACAATGCATAAGGATTCCCATTTAAGGGACATACTGTAAGTGTTGTGTGTTGGTCCAGGCACTGACCAACACGTCAGGGCATATGCCTCAAGACCCTCACAGCTGAGCTGGAAAAGGAGATAAAAATGTGTTCAATGATATTCTTCACTGAGGCCCTCCTTTCCCCCAGCAGACACTAGTCCTGGGGGGACATGGCTCCTGGGCATTGAACGTCTTTGGTCCAGGGGAGGAGACACAGTGGAGTGAGAGAAAGGCCCACCTGAGGTATGGGCGTGGCACTGGGAGAACCGGTATGTGGACACTGAGTGGCAGGTGCCTCTGTGTGTGCACGTGGGGGACATGAGTTCTGTTCCACAGCGGCCTTGCCTGGCTGATGGCCACCCTTGTCTATCCTTTTCCACCTTTCCCCAGCATCCCTTCCCAGGCACCCCTGTCCCCACCCAACTTCCTGGTCCTGGAAATGCCACTGGATCCACCTCCCTGGGGACCCCGCGTCTGCAGTTCTGTGCACTCAGGGGCCGTCTTCCGGGGTCCTGGGGCCCCTGCTTTTGAGAGTCATGGCTTCGAGCTGGGAGATGAGTGTCTCATCATGGATGGGGGCAGCTTGACCACTGTCAGGAGGGAGCTCGGTTGTCAGTCGTTCGGCTCTGGAGGGAGGGTCTGGGAAGAGACGGGGACCGAGGAACACATGAGCCGCCTCCCCTCGAATAACCGAGGTGATTTGGTTCGCGAAGACTGAGATGCTGCCCCGGGTGGACGACCTCGTGTTCCACCTCCGAGGCCCTGTCCTTTCTCCCCTGGACTGTTGCTCCCACTTCTCAGCCCTCTTTGCTTTCCCCATATTGTCTTTGGCCAGACTTTTAAATACTACACCACATCACGTTGTCCCTGCCTCAAACCCCCAGGCCTCCCCAGCTCACTTCAGGTAAGATCCAGACCTTGTTTCTGGTTTCTTGGCACAGAAAGACCTGTCCTTGGCTGGCAGACCCACTCCTTCCTGCTCCCTGGGCTCCCGTGCGTGGTTCTGAACATCACCCTTGCTCCCACCTCAGGGCCTTTGCACCTGCTGTTCCTGCCACCTGCAGTGCTGGCCCCACATCTGTGCTTGGCCAGCTCCTTCTTGCCCACAGACCTCAGCTCAGATGCCACCTCCTCCTGGAGCTTCTCTGACTGCCTGGCTAAGGCAGCTCCGCCCCCCACTATGGCACTGCCCCCTGGCACCAGGTTTTATTGGTTTTTCCAGTGTTGGTCTTGAAATCCTTGAAAGGCTTGATTGCTTGTGGGTTTTCTGTTCCCTGCTGGACTCTCATCTCCATGATTGGGGAGCATCTGTCTGTTTCACTCGTGGCTGTATCTCCAGGGGAGGGAGTGACTGAGGGTGAGTGGAGCCAGAGTGGGTGAATAAATAAATGACCTTCTCCTAATTCTTGGAAGATGGAAGAAGTGTAGTGTGACTACAGCAATATTCTGGGGAAGAATCAGTGAACTGGG